CGCAGCACGCGCCAGGGCCACACGGTAGAAAGACGGCGCTCTAGCCTGGAATCAGGTATTGGTGCTAGAACACTGAAACAGTTATTTCAAACTTTAACACAGAATAATCACCCGTTGAAAGTTCTAATACATATTATAGGTTATGCGGAAATTAGCAATTATTTCTTTATTGATATTTTCAAATTACTAATGGAGTGCAAAACGTGTTAAGGGTCTAAAACAAGGACTGGTCGGCTCGGAGTCAGTATACTGTGTCTGAGTGGGGTATTCATGTTAAACTGCGGCATGCTATCTCAGTGAGCTAGCACTATAAATCGGCATCAGTCCGGACTAGTACAAGCAGCCACACAAACACATACACATACATGCACGTCGCTATATAAGTGCAATAATCTTGGACGCGACGTTAAACCCCATTTCACCTCATCACACCTTTGCATTTTCACAAAGACTTTGACGGGTTTACGACGTTTGCAGCAATATTCCAGCCACCTACAGCGCAGGGATATGTGGAATGTGATTCACACATTGTGGTCCTGTGGGGAATGAACCCAATCTCATTTAAATCAGATCTTGATTCTCGCTGTCGCCTTCGGCGTCACAAGCCAATGCTTTGTCAGCCACACTACGCCACCTTTTATTGCTGACGACGAACACGTGTAATGGGAACGTGAAACGTTGCCACAAGAACGACGAGGCACGAGGTCTTATCGTTCATCACATACACTCACATATAACTCGAAAAGCGCTACCAACATAGAGATTATCTGAAACGGTGAACAATATAGGAATCAATTACAGTCAAACACCGATGTGTCGAAGTGAACATACGTACATAATTCGAGTTATCCGATGTTAGACAACCGAAAATGAATAAAGAAGGAATATGCAGGGACCATGTTTGTACTTCGAGACAACCGTAAGTTCAACACATCAAAGTTCGACACAACGGTGTATGACTGAATATCAACTACAATAGATGCTGTTTCTTGTTTTGGACCAGGAGCAGTGTACTTTAGTTTTAAAAAATGTATAGACCTCCTTGCCTCAATTACCTGCGCAGACATTTTGTGGGCCAAGTATGTTTCTCCCAAACAATTGCCTCAGGCTGAGAAGGCATCACAGAAAAAACATAGCTATTCATTGATTGTCAAGCTCAAGGAAATATCATTAAAACATATATTATTCGAAATAAATCAAATTCAAATTCGAATTAACAACTCCATTGTCATCCCCAATCATCAACAATTCATTCTCTTGCGGTCCTACTTGACAATGATTAGATTGACGATGCTCTAGGGACTCGGGAATAAATTCATTTCACGACACCCTGTTGGCCGCAACACACTGCCTTGACCACGATGCGGACGTTTACCTCAGGCCCCAAATGGCTTCTCCCTTCTGTACGCTGCGCCCCTACAACGTATATATCCATCAGTAGGGTGAAGGCGTGTTGCTGATATTCTCGTGAGACGAGATTTGACGAGAACATGCATCATTATGCAAATAACTGTCCGCACTTCTGGTGATGATCTAATACCGCTTAACTCGCGTTACACAGAAGATGGCGGGCGTTAATTTAATTACGAGTAGTTTAGCTTCAGATGAAGTAATCTGTCTTGTCTTCAGGAACATTCTGGTCGCTAATAGCACCCTTCACAATGAAAAAACCCAAGCATTGATGCCAATATGGTAAGTGCTCAGAATCCTGGAACAACGATTGAGGAAATAGACAGTATTCTTGGGATGTGAACTGTTTTAGCATCTGTCATAAGAAGGTTGTCGATCTGTTTACGCGGAAGGACAAGATTCAAGTGTGTACTCTAAGGTCATAGGTCACGAATCAGACAACGTACTGCTTGTGGGAGCATACCCACGTACGAATGGTGACTGAAAAGAAAGAGTGAGCGAGTGAGTGAGTTCGGTTTAACGACGCTTTTAACAGTATTCCGGTTATATCACGGCGTGTCAGCTTAATATGGGAGGAAAGCCCGAAGTGATGCAGGTCTCAGACGTTTACAACTTCGGTGAAACCCACAAGCACGGGTATGGTGCCGACAAACCTAGAAACATAATCGGGGCGAACCTGGATTCGAACCCACAATCATAGGTTTCTGGCGTGTCCAAGGGACGCAACTCTGCACAGCGAATCGCGGCGCCTTAGACGACTGGGCCACCCGTGCCTCCTGAAAAGAAAGCAGCAGAGTTATCAGCCCATAAGTGATCATGCATAAAAGCATTTTAATGAATACAATTAACCAGTTACTGATGGTATATATCTATTTGATATGCATCACGTAACTTTAACTTTCCATTGTTTATATAAATATTTTAGAATCAATTTTGCAACTTGGACAATGATGTTGCATCTTTGTTTGGTGTTAATGAGTTATTTGGAATTTTCTTGTCGTTTTACATGCATTAAATAGAAAGGTGCAATGGCAGCTTTGTCAAGCAATGACAAACTTGTTACCCTTGGCAACAGCAATGGTTGTGGTGTTTCTCCTGGCAGACATTGTTATGACCAAAGTTGCATATTTTGCGTTCTATTTCGAGTAATCCGCGAAGTTTTACTAATCAAACGCATATTTAGTGTTCCCTTGGTAGGCTACACTTGCACTACACTGCTTGCGTTCGATTTGAAAACCCAGGTGTACCCGTTTTCACCAAGTTAACCCTGGCTGACCAATGTTAGAACATGTTAACTGACTGACGTCATACTTCGGTTGACCTTAGCTTCCCATACCATCTGGGACAACTTGGGTCCTCTGGTTGACGTCATCGGTAAGTACAATTATTTCTTTCTTTTATTGATTCAATCGTGAATAAAACATTTTAATGAATATAACTAACTAGGTTTTGAAAGTCGATGTTTTTGCTAATATGGGTCAGGGAAATTTAACCTTCGATTGTGTATATAAATACTTTAGAATTAAAAATGCATCTTTGATGATGATTTTGCATGTCGTTTGATGTTTTAGGCGTTATTTTGAAGTACCTTGTCATTTTATATGCATTTAATAGAAAAGGTACAATGACAGTTTTGTTAAGCAATGCTTACTTTGTTTGTTTCACTCAGCAATATTCCAGCTATATGACGGCGGTCTGTAAGTAATCGAGTCTGGACCAGACAATCTAATGAATTATATCATGAACATCGATCCACGCAATTGGGTTACGATGACATGCACCAACCAAGTCAGCGAGCCTGACCACCCGATCCCGTTAGTCGCCTCTAACGACAAGCATAGTCTCCTTTTACGGCAAGCATGGGTTGCTGAAGACCTATTCTACCCCGGATCTTCACGGGTCGTCAAGCAATGAAAACCTTGTTAATCCTTCATAGTTGTGTGTTGAAGCACATTGCTGTTGTGTTTTTCTGCCTCCTGCCAGACATCATTATATCTAAGTTTCCGCCGTAGAAAATGTATGTTGTTCTAGGGGATACGTCTTCAATATACAACACAACTCCGTCTGCGGCCCCACAACGTTTTATTGAGCATGAGAGCTTTACTGTTTCGTGTTCAGCTCCCAGATCTCAACTACTAGCTTGCGCCGGTCTAGCTGCATATATCTCTTTCTAACATTCATACTATTCTTTCTAAGGTAATACAGCTATGCCACGTAGTACCTCGTCCACAACCCACATGCCTCTCGTGCAGTGGTCGCCCTGGTGATCTTACTCTTGGCCTTATAAGACAAAAGCATCAAGTTGCAGTCCCATAACTCTAAGAGTATGTATGGCCGGGCTCCCGCACCCCTCACTAGCCAGCGGTGAAACAGCTGACCAGTGCACGCCTGACCTGTGACCTGTTTACTCCCCCATAAGGGGTTGGCCTGAGGGAGAGGGGGAGGAAATGTGTGCTACTGCCCAGCGCACACTGCTCGCGGTCCACTGTATATTACTGCATGTGGCATACTGTATATTACACTGGTATACTGTATACTGCTTTTGATATTAGGCTGTATTTTATACGTCTTATATCGGGTACTGTCCTAGAAAAGCCTTGATCAACACTGGTTAACTCAGGTTGAATCTAGTCAACCCGACTCAACCGCAGTTGTCAGTAATGTGGTACCCTCGGTTGACACAGCCCACTCAAATTATACCAATCGAACGCACATACTGTCAGTGCAGCGTAATCGCAGCCTACCCAGGGAACCAGGCTGAACACACAACGTTTAGAACAGAAGGGCGTTGTTTTGGAGATTTGATTGATTGTTTAATTTGCCATGCACAAACTTCCGTCGGCAGTTATTTGCAAATTATACATGTAATCAGTTAATGTGTTCACATCCTATTGTCTGATTGATATTTGTCCTGGACTGAATGTGTTTTGTTTGACGCCGGTTAGACCAGTATTTCAGTGCTATCAGGTGCGTCAGCTAGAAACACAAACGTGACGCAAGTCGTTTTCAGATAAATGAAATAAAATACACATGAAATAAAATATCAACGGTCTCATCATTTGTTCTACTTTAGAGTTTTTTATCAGTTCTGAATTTACTTAAACAACAGTGAAAAGAAAAGTCACCCCTTTTCAAAATATAAATTTTCTTCCATATAGGTGATACCTGTGAAGAACTATTCTACTCCGGATCTTCACGGGTCCATGATAAACAGACGTTGACTTTCATTTCATACCAGGGAAGACTTCAAAGTGAATATTCACCAGTCGTTAATTATTACGGCTATTGGTCTCTCACACACAAAACGGTTTAAATTTTTTAATGTTTTAATTTGGATTCACTCAACAAAAACCCAAATAAGAACACCACCAAAATGTGTTGATCTTTCAACTGACAACAATGCCCGCCAAGACGGCCGCCCGTGCACGTGAGAAGCAAAGTTTACGTTTTTCTCGTGCAGATATCTCGAGTATGGGTGGTCTGCTTTCTATATCGTGACTGATGGGACAGGGTTGCCGTGTCGTGGCCTGCACCCAACGTGGCGACAGAGTGACTGAGGAAGGATGGAACACGAATGGAGACCAGTATGTCTGACTTTCGAAAACGTGAGTGTGGCTGACACAACTGCCTGGCTTCTGCCCTGACGGTCGAAGATTCTGGCTCGTAGGTGAGACATCAAAGATATTCCATAATTATATTATATGTCAACTCACACTTTCAGGAAAGACTTCCGCCTGTACACCCCCACCAAAAGCTGTGTATGTACGCGTTGCCGCTCAAGCCATTTACGTACTTATATATATTTTTGAGGGGTGACACGGGCGGAAGTCCTAAATAGAACGTTAGCTGAAATATTTGAATGGAAAGTTAGGCGAGTTCAGGTCTGGCAGGGGTGCGCATATCCCCTTTTCAAATCCTGCTACGATTCCGGGGTAGAATAGGTCTTCAGCAACCCAAGCTTGCCGTAAAAGGTGACTATGCTTGTCGTAAAAGGCGACTAACGGGGTCGGGTGGTTAGGCTCGCTGACTTGGTTGATGCATGTCATCGATCCCAATTGCGTGGATCGATGCTCATGATATTAATCATTGGGTTGTCTGGTCCAGACTCGACTATTTAGACCGCCGACATATCTGGAATATTGCTGAGTGCGGCGTTAAACAAACCAACCAACCAAATCCTGCTACACATTTAAGTATTCGAAATATGTTTTAGGGCATACTTAAAGTAAATGTACAAGATCCCTATGTCTAACTCATTTAGTGACATACCTAGAACGAGTGTATTGTTGGCCAAGAAGGACGAAGCCGCGTTTGCTTGTATTTGCACAACGACTTCAGCTGCAGTAGCAAGCTCACTGTCGTGGTTTGTTTTGTTTGTGTTACGCCTCGCTCAGCAATATTCCAGCCATATGACGGCGGTTTGTAAATACTTGTCTGGACCAGAACATCCAGTGATTGACATAAGCATTGATGTAGGCAGTTGGGCATACGATGACATGCATCAACCAGGTCAGCGAGCCTGATCAACCGATCCTCGGAGGTGACCAGATGTTGAATAGATGTATTAATGGCTCTCTATTCTTATTCTTCAGTCATGTCGCTGTTCCCATTATTGTTGGTGAGCGCCTGTGTCATGGTACGTCAAAATACTTTCGCATTAGACATGTAACACTACCCTATACTATAATGCTACTGGGATTCGGGCGGACAGAACGACAAAAGGCATATACGGGTAATATCTTTTTGACCTGATCAAAGTTAAATGACGCTATGAACGCCCATCAACAGGTGTAGGATAACGAAATACGTTGAAGCCATGTTGAACCACAATGAAGTGAATCTGAAATATGTTTGAACTTTTTCTATACCAATCCAAGCCAGACGTCACGATAAACCAAACCACACATGCAGTTGGTTCACTCGAATAGAGATACTGGTCACTGACCAGTTATCGCCATTTTGTTATTTCTGACATTCCTCGTGCAAAGTTGACTGTACCAGTAACTTTGGTTTTTGTGAAACTATGTGCAAATGCGCTTATTTCTGTCCGTGGAATAAGTTTCATTAAATTTGTTATGGCGCTACGATAGGTAATAAAAACAGTGGAAATAGAACTTTCCCGTTTGACTAACTGTACCAGTTATCGCCATCGTCTTAACAGCACGTGCCACGAGATCACGTGCACCGGTTGTTGTACAAATTAGTTTTAGTATTTCGGGTATCGCGCTCATTCATCAAAATTGTTAAGAAATGCTATTTTCAATTTGTCGTCTGCAAACTTACATAAACCAATATTCCCCAAATTCGATCTATACATGCTTATTCTTTACACTGTACTATGGATTTCGAGACATGCAGGTTTTGCATTTTGGAGAATTTTTTTTAGCTCAAATAGGTTTTAGAATTGTATTTTTGGAAAGAAATGACTGACAGTCAGCTATGACTGAATGTGCATTATCGTGTAGTTTGATTTTCGGATGAATCAGTCACGTGACACCGCCCGCATATTTTCTAAAGTCGTATTTGAGCAAAGTGATTATATGGTGTTTGTTTTAATATTTCCTCACAATAGTCCGTTTTGTTCATCATTTTCGGATAAATATTTCTCTTCTAATGAAAACGAGCAAAAGTTAAATAAGATGCGCTCACGTGCGCTATTAAGGGGGAGTTTGCGATAATTGGTCCTCGGCGATAACTGGTTACTAGCCAGTATACTACTCAAAAGAAGTTAAAGAACCCCCGATTCATTCATTACTATACTTAATGTGAACTATTGGAACATGAAAGAATTTGGTGTTGCACGGACGCACGCACGCACGCACGCACGCACGCACACACACACACACACACACAAAACGCTCTATTAATATGTCAATACATTAAAATAATACCAATGGATGGTTCTATGTCTTTAGTATTAAGTTAACATTTTAGTGGGTTGGAGTTGACCAATTATTTTGCAATTTGTGCCCCATTTTTGGTTTGATATGATGCAAGGGATGCAAGATCACTCCTAACTAAATGTTCACTTATTTGTGGCTAAGTTGTTTGGCGTCATGGCTGGAAACGCCATAACCCACACAACCCGTGAAGAACCCGGTTAGATGGTCTTCAGTAACCAATGCTTGCCGTATAAGGCGACTAACGGGATCGGTTGGTCAGGCTCTCTGACTTGGTTGATGCATGTCATCGTATCCCAATTGCGTGGATCGATGCTCATGACATCAATCACTGGATACTCTGGTCCAGACTCGATTATTTATGCCGCCGTCATATAGCTGGAATATTGCTGAGCGCGGCGTTAAACAACTAACAAAACACAAACCGTTTAAATAACTCGTTGTCGGTATCGAATGTTTAGTGTAGCTGGTTTGCTGAATGTATCGCCTTGCGTTTGCAGAGTGCCTGGGCTGTTATACCACACGGATACATCTTACATGGTAAGTTTGTTTGTTTGTTTGTTTGTTTGTTGTTTAACGCCGCACTCGGCATTTTTCCAGCTATATGACGGCGGTCTGTAAAATAATCGAGTCTGGACCAGACAATCCAGTGATTGATATCATGAGCATCGATCCACGCAATTGGGATCGATGACATGTATCACCCAAGTCAGCGAGCCTGACCACCCGATCCCATTAGTCGCCTTTTACGACAAGCATAGTCTCCTTTTACGGCAAGTATGGGTTGCTGAAGACCTATTCTACCCCGGAATCTTCACGGGTTTGGTGTCTGATTTAGATTAGTTTGAAAATTTAACCTGTATCCCAGACCATCCACCCTGACACTCGGGGCGATGGCCCAGTGGAAGGTGTCGCTCATAATTTTAATAGATCCGTGTTCGATTACCTACATGGGTGCTTCATGCGAAACCTAAACCATAACTTTACATAACCAGTTTCAGTATACACAAATACTAAACATCAGAAGGTATTGTGACGTTTTCACTTACAATCGCTTATGTATTGAAACACCAGGAAAACACATCAACTATAACTCTAAGGACAAGGAAACGAATTTAGCAGTAAATAGTTACTCCAAGACAAAGAATTATAACTGACATTGTTGCTCATGCAAATACATTGGTATGTTTTTGCGTAAGATGCGACTATTGAGATCGGGTGGTCAGGCTCACCGACTTTCTTGATGCTTGTCATTACATCCCAATTGTCCCAATTGCGTGGATGGATGCTCATGATATCAATCACTGGATTGGGTGGTCCAGACTCGATTATTTACAAACGGCCATCATATAGCTGTAATATTGCTGAGTGCGGCGTTAAACAAACAAACATGTTTTTGCAAGGGATACATAGACTATAGATCACACATAAGTATGTTCATAATACGTTTGAGCACACATGTAATTTATATTTCGTGTTTAAGGGGTAACCGTTGTTTTGAAGGTTTGGGACAGCGTAATGAACTGTTTACGCACGGCACAATGTGATAAGAACCATGTATTTATGGAAACAATAGCATTAAAATCAGATCTTTCATTTCCCATACGGGGGCACGGGTGGCCCAGTCGTCTAAGGCGCCGCGATTCGCTGTGCAGAGTTGCGTCCCTTGGGCACGCCAGAAACCTATGATTGTGGGTACGAATCCCGCTTCGCCCCGATTATGTTTCTAGGTTTGTCAGCACCATACCCGTGCTCGTGGGTTTCGCCGAAGTGGTAAACGTCTGAGACCTGCATCACATCGGGCTTTCCTTCCACATTAAGCTGACACGCCGTGATATAACTTGAATACTGTTAAAAGCAGCGTTAAACCAAACTCACTCATTTCCCATACAATATACATAGACGCAATCTCTTTAAAAGTTTTAGCTTAGTGCTCCCAACCGCTTAGATTTGAGGACATCCCATCGCAGGTCATGTCAGAACCAAAATTTTGGAAACCTAATTCTTAAGTAGACCTCGATCTAATATGTGCAGCACACGATAATCATGAGAATATCTAGAGAGCGGCTTCAGCCTGAACCCACATTTCACCTTTCAGGTAAAGGTGTGCATGGTTAGCGTTTGTTTACGATGAAAGTTAAACGAAAATTGTTTCTGAAAGGCTTTCAATAGTTATATTTGCCCTTGATCTTTTCAAACTGTATTCTAAATATCAATTCAGTTAAATGTCGCAGAAATATAAGTGTAACATGATGGCAAGACGGAGTCGACTTCTTGTATTTCATATCCAACTCGGCAAATAAATAGGATACCGTTACATACTTCTCCAAAAGTAAACAAGGTTCACGCGACTCTTTCACAGTAACATATTTAATCTCATGACATGACAGATTAACTACAGTAATTTGAAAGAATCGGGTGATTAACTTTGTGTAATATGATACGGACCTATGTGGGTTTTAAATGTTTCCAATAATACCATAGAAACAAGATTTATTTTCTTGTTTGCTGAGGTTCCTTCGACCAGCGGCAATCACTTTCTAGCTCACCTGGCGTCATACTAAAAGACGTTAAAAGATGGTACTTGTTGTTGCCCTGCCTGGCGCTCGGCATTAAGGGGCTAAAACAAGGACTGGTCGGTCGGAGTCCGTATACTGTGTCTGAGTGGGCTATTCATGTTAAACTGCGGCATGGTATCTCAGTGAGCTAGCACTATAAATCGGCATCAGTCTGGACACAGACGCACGCACACACGTCGCTATATAAGTGAAATGATCTTGGACGCGACGTTAAACCCAATTTCACCTCACCTCACCTCTAGCTCACCTGACTGAAAGTGAGGTTAGCTTACGCCATTGTCTCGGACGGTGGAGCCCGTATCTGTTGACAAAATTAAGAGGCCACTAACATGATTGGGTGGTCAGGCTCGCTGTCTTGGTTGATGCATGTCATCGTGTCCCAATTTTGTGGATCGATGCTCATGTCAATGACCGGATTGTCTGGTCCAGACTCGATTATTTATAGACCGCCGTCATATAGCTGTAATTTTGCTGAGTGCGGTGCTAAACAACAAAGTTAACATCAGCTCCTAAGCAGCCTCTGCATCAATTCAGCTGAAACATGGTATACTTGATCCGCTAATGACAACTAAATCCGTTCTAAAAAATTGAATCCTGTTTTTAAAGTCTTTTGTTTCACCATATAATGAAATTTAGTATGTGTTAGCAGTGGGGCCACAACTGTGATTACATTTGCGATAATATTAAATTGACCTTGACAACTCCCATGCCCTAAGATTCGTGTGCAAAATGCATTCCTGTCAACTTGTGAAATTTGTGTTCAGATTATGCTGAAATTTGTCGTGCATGTTCATAGTTTAATCAGATCATTGGGATCATTATTTGAAAACATCTTATTCCAAAAGACCTAAGGTCCAGAGAGCTGATATATTTTTAATAAAAAAGGATTAGATGTTGAAGGTGGCGTTCAACTTCGATGCCGTCTGCAATGTTGGAAGAACAAACGTTTTACCGAATTGTCGCAGAATCTATTAAAGCATACATCTATTTCATATACAATAAGTTAAAAGGGTTCTATAATCACGAAAAAGATAAATTAAGCTGTTTTAACATTTTCAATTTCCTTTACAAAAAAACCATGGCAATATTGTTAATGAGTGCTTTCACTGGACTTGGGTATCATGTCACGTGTCAGGGGTCAAGGTCACTATAAAGATTCTCACTAAAGTGACAGTTTCGCAAGTACCTATGTGTTGATTTCTATGTGTTTGCTCTTGAACGCAGAACCGAAATATTAGTTATTATACTACATAACTATGTTATTGAGTCTGTACCAGACAATACAGTGATTGGCGTGATGGTCATCGATCCACCCATTTTTAAAAAAATGACAAGCAATTAATAAGGTCACCGAGGCTGACCACCCGATCCATTAGTGGCCTCTTACAACAGGCCTAGGTTGATGTGGACCTATTTTCCCGGAATCCCCATTGTCTGGATCCTGCTATAAGGTTTTGGCCAAGATTAGTCAAGGGTCGAGGTCACGAGTAAAAGGCGTTTCCTGAAGCATTTTCTCCGATACAGGTAACTGAAATATTAAACACTTATGTTGAATTTGTCACTATCATTTCTTTGAAGTTGGATAAATTTTGTCTTTTGTAAAACATATATTCAATGAGATTAGAAAGAAATGATGACTTTTTGCTAAGTGATCATTTTTTTCTCACATTTTCCATTGTTTGTGAGCAGTAAGGTAGACTAGTGGGAAGAGAGACTTCCACCTTTACACCCCCACACCCCCTCCAAACTTATATATGTATGCATTGCCGCGCAGTCGTTTTAATTATATATATTTTTTAGGGGAAAACGGGCGTAAGTCTTGCCGACTAGTGTTCAATTCCCCATATGTGTACAATGAGCGAGCGAAGCCCATTTCTGGTGTCCCCAGCCATGATATTGCTTGAATATGCCAAAAGCGACGTACAACTATAATACTAACTCAAAGCTGACTCGGGTGAGCTTACAATGCCTTGGCGCCATGTGGGGCGGTCGGGTAGCCTAGTGGTTAAAGCGTTCGCTCGTCATGCCGATGACCCGGGTTCGATTCCCGACATGGGTACAATGTGTGAAGCCCATTTCTGGTGTCCCCCGCCATGATATTGCTGGAATATTGCTAAAAGCGGCGTAAAACCATACTCACTCACTTACTCACTTGGCGCCATGTTTAAGACTCATTTGTGAGTTAGAATGTTTCCAATCCAGTGACTTCCAACTGCGGTAAGGAAAATGCCAAGGGTGCCGAAATAGCCATAGTAACGGACTTGGACATAGCGGCTCGTGCAGACTGCGCAACGTCCAGTGAGAACTTTACGTCGACTGACGAAGTCAACTTCAAGCTGTCGGTCGGATACCCTGGCTTTGGCTCTCACGCCTGTCAGTTTCAGGTATTGGGAGACGACGCATTTTTTCTACTTATTCCCTGTATTATTATATCAATCATTCATTTATTGATATAACAGATTCTATTTTGTGATCTAAAAATGCATCGGTTTTATTGACATCAGTCAAAATCGAATTTGTGATACGAAGAAATGAATTAATAACAAGTTTTATTGTTTTTGTTATCACTTCTCTGCCGCCAGTTGTTGACATGATCGATGTAATTGTTTGTTGAGTGGGATGTACATAGACAGTTCATTATATTTACTTAGATGGACTACGTATTTTGGACTTACAGAAAATCAAACTCATTTTCAATCAAATTTAAATCACATTGCTCACGTTTTCAATTCTCTAGCTCTGTGTCTATGTCCGCCTACTTCGATCGTAAAGTGTGAGAGCTGCATCTTAATTGTGCTAAACATATTCTAAATTTTTAAAAATTGATATCAAATGATGGAATTCTGTGGAAATAGCTGTCTTAAAACGCTTGTAATAATTGCATTTTTCTGAACTTAAAACATGCGATGACCATTTTTGTAAGTCTTTGGCATATAGATACTATAAACGAATCTGGGTTGTTAGGTACCAGTTGATTATGCCAAACATACCCTTGTGTCGTAAATGTCGCGTACATAAATTTATGGATATATTTCAGTTTGACTTAATATTAAAACAAAACATTACATTCCGGTAGTAATTTAAGCAATCCGCACTCAAGTGAGGAGTTGATTGTGTGACAGGACTAATTGGTAGGATATCACAAATTTATTGAATGTTCCACTCTTTAGAGAAATGACGGCGATTTATTGATTTCACTAAATCGAACTTGATATCACTATTTCGATATTTGAACTAAAATGCATTTTAAGATTAGACACCGCAGTTTTTCTACATCCTACTAATACTGTCGCGTCAGAGGGTTGGTCATGGTTAATATACATTTTAGGGAGTGTATCTGACGTCGGAGAATCCATCAGAATATCCACAGAAGTTATACGTATTGACTTTATCTTCTGCAATCAGAAACGGAAAGGCGCTCGTGTGTACGTCTTGAAGATGTTCGTATCGTACGGTTCTCCGGGCGCAGCCCTCCACCACAGCCAAGAGGAGTACACCATCACATGCACGTTCGACGCCAAGAATACGCAACTTACGAAACAGTTGAAAATCGGAGCCAGGTAGGAAACGGCGACTGGTTAACATTTTTTTTTCAGAACGAATGTTGTATTCCTGTCTTAATCTTGCTTTCATTAAAGACAAGTCGGTGAGGGAAGTTGGCAGGGGCGGCACAGAATTCGCTGTGTAATTGCGTCCCTTTGGTCGCGTGACAGGATCCGCTGAATGTTTTCCCTACAGTGTGAGGTGTTAATGCCGTTTTAAACAGTATTTCAGTTGTCTCGGTGTGTCAGCACCGCCTCCGTGGTCTTGTGGTTGAGCGTCCGCCCGGAGAGCGAAAGGTCCGGGGTTCGATCCCCGGCCGCGTCACACCAAAAGACGTTAAAAGATGGTACTTGATGTTACCCTGTCTGGCGCTCGGCATTAGGGGCTAAAACAAGGACTGGTCGGCTCGGGGTCGGTATACTGTGTCTGAGTGGGGTATTCATGTTAAACTGCGGCATGGTATCTCAGTGAGCTAGCACTATAAATCGGCATAAGTCCGGACTAGTGCACGCACGCACGCACGCACGCACGCACGCACGCACGCACATGTACGTCGCTATATAAGTGCAATAATCTTGGATTTCACGTCACCTCACACCTCGGCGTGTCAGCTTGACGAGTGAGGAGTCAGAAGTGATGCAGGTCTTGGACCATAAACCGACCGTAAACGTCCAGTTAGTCAGTTAACTCGCTTGCCTCAGAGCAGGATTAGATCACTCACGCGGTAGGGTTGACTGTCTAAGTCTTAGTTGACATTTCCAGCCGAGTAGCCCCAAAGGAGGTCAAGTCGTGGTCAGGGAAGAAGACAAACGCCGTCATTCGCCTCCTGTTGGTAGATGTCCTTGGAAGAGACGTGCATGGCCAGAGGCTGGCGGCAGGACGCAAGGTGCAGCTCAAGGCTTTTGCGACAGGCGAGTTGTCTCCACTTGGTATAGTCGAGTTGTCTCCCGTTGTGACATTAGTTTCTTGCAAAGCTATCATGAGGCTGTTCGTTTTAAGCCAATGTGAGGTTATGCCACGCCGTGGCGTCCGTCGTCTGTACGTCAACAATTTATTATTCAACTACCTCTTCTGAACCACCAATTGGAAATTAACGAAATTTGACTGGAAACATCCCCTTGTGGTGAAGATTCAAAATTGTACAAATGGTGGGGCTGAGGGGCGGGACCAAATAGGGGCAGTTTGGCGTTATTGCTTTTAACGACTTCCTCTCTGGAACAAAGATATCAACCATATATGGTTTGAAGCATTCTCCAATGGTGGCGATTCAAACTGGAGAAATGGAGAGGCTGAACCCCCGCGGGGATAAAAAGGAAATATAGCAATATTGCTTTAAACAACGACTTCTCTGGAAGAGATAGATATCAACCATATTTGGTTGGAAGTTTTCTCAGGTGGTGGGAATTCACAATTGTACAAATGGAGGGGCTGGAAACGGTTCAGATCTTTATAGGGGGCACGGGTGGCCCAGTCGTCTAAGGCACAGCGATTCGCTGTGCAGAGTTGCGTCCCTTGGGCACGCCAGAAACCTATGATTGTAGGTTCGAATCCCGGTTCGCCCCGATTATGTTTCTAGGTTTGTCAGCACCACACCCGTGCTCGTGGGTTTCACCGAAGTGGTAAACGTCTGAGACCTGCATCACTTTGGGCTTTCCTCCCACATTAAGCTGACACACCGTGATATAACTGGAATACTGTTAAAAGCGGCGTAAAACCCAACTCACTCACTCAGATCTTTATGCTACATTTGTATCAAGGGAAGTACACGTTCATGCTGTCAGATTTGCCACCCACCTATGTTAAATGCTGACAGTCAAAATTACGAAATATTTGCAGTATTATATTCATGTACAATGCAAATGTATATTTTGTCATGATTGCGTAAATATCCAGGTGAGCGATACAGGCCCTATGGGGCTCTTATTACAGACCGCCGTCATAATTCTGGAATATTACCGAGTGCAGCATTAAACAACAAAGTGTGGATTATTACCTCATTCCACGATGTTCCAGTTTCATTATGATCCTTATGTGTAAGAGCAACGTGAGGAGGTTCAGGTGGCCAGACCCGGTGAGATGATTGCTTGCGTTGGTCTTTGTAGACCGCCTCCGTGGTGTAGTGGATAGAGCGTCTGCCCGGAGGTCGGAAGGACGGGGGTTTCGATTTCGGGACGCGTCATACCAAAATACGTTAAAATATGGTACTTGTTGTTACCCTGTCTGGCGCGCGGCATTAAGGGGCTAAAACAAGGACTGTTCGTCACTCTGTGTCTAAATTTGGTATACATGTTAAACTGCGGCTTCATCGTATCTCGGTGGGCTAGCGCTATATATTGGCAATAGTGCGCGCACGCACGTCGTTATGTAAGTGCAATAATCTTGTACATGATGTTATAACCTAGCGTTCAACCCTGTTTCACCCTCACCCCGAGTCCTCGTGGATAGCTGTTCATGCCTTCAGTACAGATAGCTGCGTCACACAACTCGCTTATTTGTAATTCGACCGACATTGCAGGTACTGCTCCCAACGAACGGGGTCTGCGACCTGTATCTTGTGACGCCATTGGAGTGACGACCGGAGCCAGGTTCGCCTTGCTTAGATCCGGGTAGGTGGTACGACCTGTGGCCCTGGTGTGATGAAGGCGGGGTGGATGGCCCTGGTGTGATGAGGGCGGGGTGGGTGGCCCTGGTGTGATGAGGGCGGGGTGTGATGAGGGCGTGGTGGGTGGCCCTGGTGTGATGAGGGCGGGGTGGATGGCCCTGGTGTGATGAGGGCGTGGTGGATGGCCCTGGTGTGGTGGATGGCCCTGGTGTGATGAGGGCGTGGTGGATGGCCCTGGTGTGATGAGGGCGGGGTGGATGGCCCTGGTGTGATGAGGGCGTGGTGGATGGCCCTGGTGTGATGAGGGCGGGGTGGTTGGCCCTGGTGTGATGAGGGCGGGGTGGGTGGCCCTGGTGTGATGAGGGCGTGGTGGATGGCCCTGGTGTGGTGGATGGCCCTGGTGTGATGAGGGCGTGGTGGATGGCCCTGGTGTGATGAGGGCGTGGTGGATGGCCCAGGTGTGATGAGGGCGTGGTGGGTGGCCCTGGTGTGATGAGGGCGGGGTGGATGGCCCTGGTGTGATGAGGGCGGGGTGGATGGCCCTGGTGTGATGAGGGCGGGGTGGGTGGCCCTGGTGTGATGAGGGCGTGGTGGGTGGCCCTGGTGTGATGAGGGCGTGGTGGATGGCCCTGGTGTGATGAGGGCGGGGTGGTTGGCCCTGGTGTGATGAGGGCGGGGTGGGTGGCCCTGGTGTGATGAGGGCGTGGTGGATGGCCCTGGTGTGATGAGGGCGGGGTGGATGGCCCTGGTGTGATGAGGGCGTGGTGGATGGCCCTGGTGTGATGAGGGCGGGGGTGGCTGATCTGTAAATAATAGTCTGGACCAGACAATCCAGTGAATGATATCATGAGCATCGATCAACGCAATTGGGATCGACGACATGTGGTGTGATGAGATCAGATCGGGCTGGTTGACCTTGGTGATACAAATTCGCATAACATTTACACAAAATAAGGCTTTTCGGAGAGTACCCATGATTTCTCTTTGTCCCGAGCTTGGTATGTATTGCCATGGAAGTTCTGTACGCCTGATATATACATCGGCATGTCAGTTCAAAACCATTTGTATATCTGCGGAATTATCTATTTCGAGGAATTGCAACCTGAACTAAATAAGATATAACCAACATGCGAAGAATTTGTCGTGGTGAAACTGTTCCTCCGGTTTAAATGGTTTCACTGTGTTAATGGTAAGTGCCACAAGGCGGAGTTGATGGACAACAATTGCTGCTTGGAATGGTGGGAACCTTTTGTTACCTATTGTCATCTATTGTCATGAGGGGCAGTCGTGTAGCCTAGTGGTTAAAGCGTTCGCTCGTCACGCCGAAGACCCGGGTTCGATTCCCGACATGGGTACAATGTGTGAAGCCCATTTCTGGTGTCCCCCCGCCGTGATATTGCTGGAATATTGCTAAAAGCTGTGTAAAATCATACTCACTCACCCCAAATGGTTCTAAAAATATAAAGTTTTCACGGACATAACCAGCTGATCAAGGCATTACCCTCTTGCACGAATGGCCACAGAAGCCAGGGTTGACCTTGAGACAAATTCTCATTAGGATGAGACTACAATGCTGTTCAAAATTAAGTGGGGCAGTCGTGTAGCCTAGTGGTTAAAGCGTTCGCTCGTGACGCCGAAGACCCGGGTTCGATTCCCGACATGGGTACAATGTGTGAAGTCCATTCCTGGTTTCCCCCGCCATATTGCTTGAATATTGCTAAAAGCGGCGTAAAACCATACTCACTCACGTATTGTCATGACGTCATGGCTATGTGCGGATACTGTTATGAATTAGGTTGGTTTTGAGATAATACATCTTGCCCCACTTGACCTCCAGATGCGGAGACGGGTGGTTCATCAAACGGAACCAGGGTTTCACCACCAGGGGCTTGTCCTGCGCCAGCCCTTTCTTCAGCGCCTTCAGCCTCCCTAATAAGGAACCGATGCGGTTCCAGTGCAACTTCACTGTGTGTGAAAGAAACTGTGATGGGGTGAGTCTCAACCTACATGTTATTAATGCGCCCTATAAGTCGTTTTTTTGTTTTCTAGTTTCTATATTTTTTTGTCTGATATTTTGGGGTGTGATTGAAACGTTGGCCCATCACACCCTTCAGGTTCGAATCCCCTCATAGGTACAGTGGGAAGACCATTCTTGTCATCCTGGCAGCTCACATTTTGTTCTAGGCTTTGTGTTTGTGCATACATGTAGATAGATCATTGCATGGTTGACTTAAATTCAATAACAAATGTGGTGTGAAAGCAGACCCCTGGTTCTTATTTCCCACTTTGAAGAGCCCGTGAAGATCCGGGGCAGAATTCAACAACCAATGCTTGCCATAAAAGGTGACAATTCTTGTCGTTAGAGGTGACTAACGGGATGGGTGGTCAGACTCTCTGACTTTGTTGATTCATGTCATCCTATCCAAATTGCGTGGATCGATGCTCACGATGCCAATCACTGGATTGTCTGATCCAGACTTGATTATTTACATACCGCCGTCATATAGCTGTAATATTGCTGAGTGCGGCCTTAAACAAACCAAAGCATTTTGAAGAAAGTTCTCATCTGACCTTTGATCGTATGTTCGAATCCCGGTTCGCCCCGATTGTGTTCAGGTTTGTCAGCACCATACCCGTGCTGGTGGGTTTCACCAAAAGTGGCAAAAGGCATCACTTCGGGCTTTCCTCCAAAATCAGGCTAACACGCCGTGAAATAACTGAAATACTGATCAACGCGACGTTAAACCCAATTCACGCCTGCAGTGCATCTTGGCCTGGTGGTTGTCTGTTGCCATCTACCATGTGTAAACCACAGGTAGTAATAACCTTTCTAATGAATTCTTTTTATGATTTGTACCAAAACCTTTAGGCAAAGATGTAAAGACCCAAAATCAATGAAGTCTTCCTGACATGTACGTTTGGCAATCTACCAAAATCGCGAGCGAACCCGAAACCTAAAAGTAAATGTTATGAAGCATATACTTCAATCACTGCCATCTATTCGACAAGATTTACAATGAGAGGATCTGTGAAACTGTTTGGTGCTTGAGAGGCCGATGTTAATGCTTTCGATAGGATAGGCACAGCAAGTTGCGTCCCTTGGACACGCCAGAAGCCATTTGTCGTGGGTTCGAATCCCGGTTCGCCCGAGCTCGTTGGTTTCACCAAAGTGGTAATCGTTTGAGACCTGCTTTGAGCTTTCCTCCAACAATAAACTCGCTGTCTTGTGACTAGAATATTGTTCAAAGCGGCGTTAAAACCAACTCGGTCACTTCGATGCGAATATTTTGTTTGATTTGTTTTATGGCAACAGTTATAGTACGACTAAATATTTATATAGCTACATCTTGATCGATCACTTTATTGGTGTTATAAATAATTGTTAAATAAGTCGTCATTATTTACCAGGACTCGTGTGCAGTGGACAAGGCAAGAAGACGGAAGTCGGCTTCTTCAGGTAGGTCTGAGTCCCTACTCGCCGCACTAGGCCTAGTATTCCAGGTATGACAGCGGTTCTGTACATCGAGTCTCATCATGAGTATCGCCCCGTGAAGATCCGGGTAAGAATAGGTCTTCAGCAACCCATGCTTGCCGTAAGATGCGAAAAAGGGATCGGGTGATAAGGCTCGCTGACTTGGTTGATGCGTGGATCGATGCTCATGATGTCAATCACTGGATTGTCTGGTCCTGACTCAATTATTTACAGACCGACGTCATTTTGCTGGAATATTGCCGAGTACGGCGTAACCCCCCCTTTAATCGAAGACATAACTAAATGTTAAATATTGACTCAGTATTTCATATCGCTAAAATCGGTTTATAGTCATTACCACGTGAAATAGAATCACGAAAATACGCGATTATAATAAACGAAGACAAAATGCATATCTGCAGTGAAAACAAGCCAAAGTATTACTACACATGCAACTATCATGCAAATAATAACGACATTTAGTGCTTCTATTTCACGTAGAGGACAATAATATTCTCACGACAGGTTTTCGTGTACTGTAGTCAATATACTTTATTTCCAGACGAGAGCTTCATTCCTGCCAGTTCCGGTTTTATTTCTCCAGACAAAATCGACCACCGGAAGTCTGTCGAGCTTGTTTCGAGACGGACATCCGACGAACATCTTTGGGTCTCGAGAGTGTTCATTTGGGCGCCAGTCGTCATAATTATGGCAATTGGTGTACTGGTATCAATCGGAGCGGCGACACGCGCATGCGCACGCCGGAATCTCGCGAGAAAGTACGAGGTTGCGCCAAAGGTCAGTGTCTTGTCCTTGAGGCCATGCGGTTGCAGTTGGGATGGCGAAGGGGGATGTATGAGCTCCTGGGCGGCTCAGAATGACCTCAACCGCCTTGCACATCTGGAAACGGAGAGACCCTATAAAATCAGGTCCTCCAGTGGAGTATGTGAGATACCTTGCAATAGCAGCCATGGTGAAGTGTGACAGACACGATGGTAATAAAAAAACTTGTGGTTTCAGGAAGAGAATATTGTCGTTTGTCTGCCACCGCCTTAGTTATACTGTGAAGATCCGGATAAGAATAGGTCACCAACCCATGCTTGTCGTAAGAGGCGGGTGGTCAATGCATGACATCGTATCCCAATTGCCTAGATCGATGCTCATGTCAGTCACTGGATTGTCTGGTCAAGACTCGATTACTTACAGTCCGCCGTCAGAGGTGGAATAGTGCCGCGTTAAACGATAGCTGTTGAGCATTGTCCTATTTCTAAACGGGTCCAGCAGAAATATTGATGGCCGGGAATAGCTGCAAGATTCCCGATGCGGCAAACTATTTGACCGATGAAAAACAGCTTTTCGGTGCATTGAGCATGTTTGTGAGTCAAATAGTGATGTGATGATGCCAGGCGTTCGCGAAAATACATGGGGATAGGGAATTGCTTCGGACATACTTTGTCAGCGTGTCAAATGTCTACCATACAACTTTGATCGAACAACTATTGGACAGTCGCACTTCCCCCATTACTTGTGAAAAATTACAATATTTACGATTCATCCAAGGCATTTGACGGTTTGTTGACAGTTAGCTCGTCAAGCTCACCTGGGTACAAAGAGTCGTGATATTGCTAAATGCGGCGTAAGAGACACTCGCTACGTCAGACGGATCATCTGTATTTAATTTGATATAGAATGTGTGTTTTGTTTATATGGACGCAAAACCGAGATATATTAAGAACGCTATCTTTGCGTGTATGGGAATATGAATGAGATACCTATCATAAAATAAGGTAGACACTATGGCCCCTGTGTCCACTAATGCCCTAACAGGAATATACTCAAAGTATATCTACCTCGTTTGGATTCCCAACAGATGTAACACACCGGGCCATAGACGTGGTGGCCCTTTAAGATGGTCAAGACGTACACGAAACCATAATACAAATGTCCAGGATACCTACACATGAAACACGGGCTCATGATCCGACGCTTGTCCAGGTGCGGCAGATCTGTTGTCGTTAGTTGCAGATTGATGGAAGGGGCAGCGGCACTCGTCCAATCGGGATGTGGAGCAGGATACTCGCTGGATCGTGGATCATACAAAGCTCATGATATCCTCCTCTGTCCGCGGCCTCTTGATCTGTCGTTTTCTCCCATACTGCTGTCCGTGGGCGGTAGGACTAAAGGAAGGCTGGTACACCTGGCCTGACAGCTGCTGATGTTGGTCACGTAGGTCAGATCCTTCATCATCACCTTCAGCTCAGTGATGTCAGTGGCTGGTTACTGGCCATGTTGACGGATGCGGACTTCGACTTCTGGACCTCGACATCTCATTCTGCTCTGCTTCTGTTCCGCCAACTGGTATAACAGTCTCTCAAGTCGACAGCTCCATGCAGTCACTTCTTCATCTCGCTGGTAAGGGCTGTAGAACTCTAACTGCATGATGACCAAGCTTCATCACAATTAGAGCCGCCTCACCCTTAAGAGACTGACGAATAGCCTGAAGGATAAGTTGTCATGGACCTTGGACTCCATGAGACAGTTCACCTCATACCGCCCAGCATCCTTGGTCGCCGTACCACTAAACACAGGAGGTTTAGGGAAGTGACGATGAGCAACCTTAGAACTAAGTGGCACTTGCTCTGGCTGAGAACCATCTGAAGTGGAAGCTTCTTCCTTCTTCACAACTGGACCACCCTGCTTAACTACTGCTTCAACCAAGACTTAGTTTTGCACCCTGAGTCCGATAACCGTGATTATCAACCAGACTGGCATATTCTTCTTGAATTTCACCCATCTTCAATGGCACAAGTAAAGAAACAAATCAAACACTGACGGTAATAGTTCATAGGCACAACACAATAACCTGAAGTGAAGGAGATGGTGGTTTGTGAATGTGTCATCTACAAAGACGATACTGTGAAAGCAACATACAGCGAGGAAACAACAATTGGATTTAAATGGAAAATACAAGTATTGCACACATGAGTAATTCACAAGATTTGACCTAAGATTATAACATGGTATATAGAGGCAGAATAATAAGTGCACCACAATAATTATGAAGACTAAAGTACTCACGAAAATGGACAAAAACTGTTTTTCTCAATTTAAAAATCGACACAAAGTGTTACGTCGCTGTAAATAGTACTGTAAAGTACTAGTCTGGATTTGCTAGTTTGATCTCAGTAAACAATACAAAATGTACTTTAAAGAGGTAATTTGTCGTCACTTTCAACTTTCAAAAATAAAAGCAAGTCCAAATTGACATAGCAGAAACAGACTATAGGCATTATGCACCTGTCAAGGTGTCATAGGTTATGGACATTCATCTTGATCTACTTACACCTGGTTATGCCCTGTTTCACAATAGTCTGTTTTATTCACATTTTTACACTTTTACTTGTAAAAAGGCATAAAAACCTGTGATATGTTGTATTTGTGCCAAGGCCCAATTAGTACTAATTGAGTTGTTTGAATATTTACACATTTTGACATCGATCCACGTAATTGGGATACGATGACATGCATAAACCATGTCGGCGAGCCTGACCACCCGATCCTGTTAGTCGCCTTTTACGGCAAGCATGGATTACTGAAGACCTATTCTACCCTACAATAAATTATTAAAGACAAAGAAAGTAGCAGCACACGTTGAATAATATACCCCTTGATAAGAGCTAATGAAGATTGATTTAAACCAAAGTTTATTTGGCTAAGTTTAATGATATTCACACAATCATACTCACACGTCACACCTGAAAAATGTAAATGATTAAAGATACTTCTGTGTGGAAATAAACTAGAACATCGGCGAAGCTTGTACAAGCGCAACTATGTACAAACAAACGCAAATTGACATGGATATGTGTACATTGAATGAAAATAAATGCACTTGACACTACATTTTATTGAAGGTAAATAACCTGCAGGTAATATGGAAACAAAACCAATGCTACAGACCGTAAAGGTAATTGAAGCAAAGATGGGGCTTTATGCCAGGCAACTATTTACAAGTTCATAATGAACAGAATGATGAATGTTTACATTCATCAAAGCAAAATTGCTTGTATGGCAATGTAGAAACATGCTTACAGTTCAAGAACAATGAAAACATCCAATTAGATATGTGAAACAATAGTCCGGAAAATGAGTCGCAATTCACAATCACTGAATCAAGTCCAATAAAATGTCAACATGACCTGCCTTGGAGTCTCTGGGTCAAGGTCACTGTCACAAGGTCAGTAGGTCCCAGGGTCACAAGACCCAACCACATGGACCTGACAATCACTCGCGAGATGGACAAATCTACACGGAATTAGTTCTTTAACACACACGTGTTCCTCACTGGGGCCTCCAAACACGTAACCTTGTTTTTCTGTGGCATTATCCATAACATACAGACGACACCAAAGACTGCTACGGGGTGTGAGGCTTCTATTTATTGTTAATGCGCAAGGTAAACACCCTGTATTGTGAATCGCATCAAAATATCAACAAACTCTCGCCATCTGTGTCCACTCCACAAGCGTGTTTAACAAGTCTTCCTAAAATCCCACATGCACATGTTTCCCTTCAGTCACATTTGTCTCAAATCGCACACGATGTTCATTAAACTTGTTGTCCGGATTAAACTGTAACACCGGTTCTCTCGTCATTCCTGGTTTCGGCTTTCACATGTCGGATCATTCATTCAGACACCGTGGCGGCAATCGTACTTTTGAAAGTTTACCTTCTTTTCGTAACTTTTCTCTAAAAAACAAGACTTCTGGACATTCCGTCTGTTGTTGTAGGTTTTGGCATTTTTTTCAAATGACATAAAAAATTTGACGTGTTTTCTCTTCTCAATGTGAAATGCATGTCTCTGCCTATGCACGACGGGGGCTGTCTGTCAGTGACGAGATCTTGTCAAAACAAGCCTTGATTAAAAAACCTGATGAACCTTTTTGGAAAAATGTCTTCTATATCAATGCTAGAGTTTACGCTGTGTAAATCGGACAGAAATATAACTGGAATAATGTGACCTTTACAGTTCTTAAACAGAACTATATTTTTCACGCATAACGGCACGTTAATTGAGTAATGCGATTAGAGTGAATGGACAGTGTTTTTTCACGCGCGGATTGATACAAAACAGCTGATTTTTTTTATCGCTAAAGCTCGGAGCTTAAAACATTAATTTCACTCGTGACATATTTTCCGTAATCACTCGTACCTCGTGGGTTATTCTATAAATAATAAGGGGGCGCGGGTGGCCCAGTCGTCTCAGGCGCCGCGATTCGCTGTGCAGAGTTGCGTCCCTTGGGCACGCCAGAAACCTATAGCACCATACCCGTGCTCTTGGGTTTCACCGAAGTGGTAAACGTCCGAGACCTGCATCACTTCGGGCTTTCCTCCCACATTAAGCTGACACGCCGTGATGTGACTGGAATACTGTTAAAAGCGGCGTTAAATCAAACTCGCTCACTCAGTGTAATAATAAACAATAGATAATATAGTATATGCATATTAAAGCATAACATATATCATCAAAGCAATACAATAATTTCTGTTACACTGCTTACAACCAAATATTAGATGATATGAGAGAAATGGCTTATAATTCATATTGGATAAAATAGTTACACGTGATGTACTTCTACATGTATCATAGATGATAAAATATACAATGCACACTAGGGCTGGGACGAGTCCAAATTTACTACCCGGGTACCCACCCACCTATACCCGACCCTACCCGGGTACCCACTGTTGGTCTCAAGAGAGAGGTACAAACTGCCCGATTGGGAATAGTTTGACTGTAGCCCTGGACAAAATGTATTTAGATACACGTATAAATCGATCTGGTCATGCATACACTGACGTTGACTGAAGTTTTATCTTTATTCAAACATATAAAAGTCTGGGTGCATAGTCAGAAAGTGACAGGTGACTTGTAGTGTAACCATATAGTTCTAGATTATTTTTGTCATTAAACAATATATCACATGACCAACCACGGGTCCGGATAGTTCTGTGGGTA